TTTCTCGAGATGCACAGCTGTGAATTGGGCCATCAATCAGCTTTTGTATTACAAGCCTGCGTACTTCGATATGCGTGATATTGATAGAGGCAGCCCCGCCGCACGTCGTGGCAGTCGGAGAAGCGCGATACGATGTAGCTGTAGCCAATCGGAATGCAGGAAAAGAAAAGACGGGTTAGGGTTGGCGTGTTCTTTCTTCAAGAAGTCGTGTCATTCTGCTTCCACCCCCCAAGGCGATGCCAAAGCAGCGGACACCAAACATAGCGGCAAGCGCCAGCACCCAAGGTCGTTTGGAAGCGAATGTCGACGCCATTGAACCATTCTAACGTTACTCGTGTAGGTGCTGGACGAGGACGCGGTTCGATTGCAGAACCGATGAGCGAAGAACGCCAGCATAAGGCAGCAGCGCGCAAGGTCGGTGACTTTATGAGCGACATCGATATGAACTATGGCTTTGTAGGTCTCCAACGTCGTCAAGAGATTCGATCGCCCACCTTGTTGCACAGCGTCGCGCTTCCAAAATTGGCTCCGTCCGCCCGGCGACTGCCTCGACAACACGAGCCAACGGTAGCTGCGGTCCATCGCGCACCTGCTGCTGGTCGCCAACAGCGAAACGACGTTGGCTTCGTCGCCACGCGCCCGGTCCAAGACGCGAGCACCGACTTGCGCAGGTAAACCAATTCACGTTCGCTTGCCGAAACACAAGCTCATGCAACGTCTAGGACGCATCCCATGTTCAATTTCAACCATGGCGGAGACACGCTTCATGGCGAAGGCGCGCAAGGACGCACGTCGCGGCCCTGCTGGCAACTGCGAGGCGCACGCAGAAGGGTCGGTGAATGCGGCCTTGTCGGCGTCCATGAACTCGAGGTAGCCTAACGGTTGTCCTCGACGTGCTTAACCGTTGACTTCTAGGCACCGGCAAGCGCGGACCCGACGGGGCAACCCACGGCGGCCACAACCGCGAAGAGCCAGAAGCGCAAGGCACAAGAGACGGCAGCGCAGATAGCTTGTCGAATGCAAGAACGCTGTCGTTTTACTCGTGCTCTAGGACGCCAAAACTCTGCCGGCGCTGGACAATCCCGCCGGGACCTTGCAGTCGATTTTGCCCATCGAAGCGCGTACCCTCGCCGACTTGACGACATCGAGCTCGCCTCGGTCTCGAGACACCGTCTCGTCGTTGGCGACATCGACGGCTCAAACGGGCCGGTAGCCACGGTGATCGTCGTGTGCGTGAGCTCGGTAACGCAGGGCATGAAGCTCTCGTTCCGGGCTTGCAACGCGACGAACCCCGCAAGGTGGCCGAGGACGCGAGCGCGCACGGCCCATCTGCGTCCGCCGATAACGTCGCGGTGGCTACGAACGCGGACGGGACTGCCGACAGCATCAGGCCGAGAAGAATGGAGACGCGCAGCATGACCAAGGCACGCCAGATGGTGGCCGCTGCGCTAGCAGCGCAAACCATTAACGACCGTCGTGCGCTCTCGCGGGCCGCAAGGCGCTCCGTCTGCCGCTTACGAGTCTTTTCAGCAACCGCCTCAGCCGCAGTGACATTCCCGCGCACATCATCTGGATGCGTGTCACTACTCGGCCGGCAACGTAGCTGCTAAGACACGCTTTAATCAACACACTTCCAGATTTTTTTTTGCTACCTTGTTGTCTCGATCCTAGTTGGATAGTTGGGATATTGGTGGCTTCAATCCACACTTTGGTCGTGGCGCAGCGACGCGTTGTGGGCTGTTCCAAGGTGAAAGCCGTCCATGTGGCCGAGCGACGCAAGGAGCGTCAAGCCAAGGCCACAGAATGCCTTTGGCGCCAACGACGCGGGCGCCAGGTACGCAGCGACTTCCGAAAGCACGAACAAGGCGACGTCCAAATACAGCAGTGTGAGTTTGACTTGCGACAGAGTGCGGTCGGGATCGCACGGACCTGTGCCACCGCCGGGCGTCAAGCACTGGCGCTCGAGTCGACGGCACCACGACGGTGGGAGCAGCGGTACCTCGAGAGCGAACGCAAGCGCTGGTAGAATCAGTAGCGTCCACCAGTCGCGCCACACGACGACCATGAGCGTCGTCATTACGGGTAGCGCCATGTTGTTTTGCGAGGTTTGCAACTGTATGGCTGCCGTCGACGTCAACTTGGCGCCTGGCTTTGCCACGTGGTTGCGTGTTTCTCGACATCGCAGATTCGATCCCGAGCTCTTTTCGTCCAGAGCTTGAGAATACCGTGACCGAGTTGCTGCTATGTTGCAACTTATACATACGTAGCCGAAGCTGTCGGTCCAAATCTTCCATTCTCCCAAGGGGAGGAGAGTTACATAATGAATCTTCTATCGGCGTCAGCTATTCGCTCGAATCTAGACTTGTACTAATCTCTCGTATACATTCGTACTCTGTGAATGATCCTCATTTTGCAACAAAGTGTACGGTGGCAGACTTGCGTATTGTTTATAGTTATGTGAAAATGGGACGTGGAAGCAGTTCGTGTCAAAAATGGAAACAAACGACTTACAACGTCATGCCGAGGATCGAAGCGGCGTCGGCCTTCTCGCTGAGGAGCTCGTCCGTCGTCGTCTTGATGAGCTTCTCAACGGCGGGCGAGATGGTCATCGTCTCGTCAATCGTCACCTGGCCGTCGCCGTGGCAGCGCATCGGGAACGAAAAGATGAGGTTCTCCGGCACGCCGTGCTTGTTGCCGTTCGAGAGGATACCCATCGAGACCACCTCGGTCGAGCCGTAGAGCCACGCCTGCATGTGGCCCTTGATGGCCGAGGCCACCGAGAGCGCCGACGAGAGCTTGCGTGCCTTGATGATAGCGGCGCCTCGCTGCTGCACGTCCTTCATGAGCGAGCCGTGGAGCCAGTCCTGGTCGTTGTAGTACGCCGAGAGCGGCTTGGCCTCGCCGTCCTTGTTGATCGTCACGTACGACGCGTCCGGGACCTGCGTCGCCGAGTGGTTGCCCCAAATAATGCAGTTCTGCACCTGCGTCGAGGTGACAGTGTTGGCCCCGCACGCCTCGTTGATCTTGACCGTGAGGAGCGAGCGCATGCGCTCGTGGTCGAGGCGCATGAGGGCCGAAAAGTTCTTAGTCGGGATGCTCGGCGCGTGGCGCATGCACACGAGGCAGTTGGTGTTGGCCGGGTTGGCGACCACGAGCACCTTGATGTCGCGGTCCGCCACCTTCTCGATGGCCTCGCCCTGGACCTTGAAGATGGCCGTGTTCTTGGCGATGAGGTCCTTGCGCTCCATGCCCACCTTGCGCGGGAAACCACCAAGGAGGATCGCAATGTTGGCGCCCTTGAACGCAACCTCGGCGTCCGTCGTGAGCGTAATTTCTACCATCCTCATCATCAGTTGTCATGTCCATGCGAGCGAGCGTGCGTACCATCGACAAGGTCGTACGCGCAGTCGAGGAGCTCCATCTTGACGCCCTCCATGACCTCGAGCGACTGGGGAATGTCGAGGAGGCGGAGGTTGATGCGCGTGTTGGCGCCGAGGACGTGGCCGCCGCAGAGCTGCGGGAGGAGCGAGTAGCCGACTTGGCCGGCGGCGCCGGAGACAACGACAGTGGTGGCAGGCATGGTGCAAACTTGGAAATGACCCAAAGTCTTCAACTTGCATCTTTCGACGAAAAAGGCGTTGCGTATCCGGATCCGGTTTCGTGCCCGAATGCGCCCTTCTGATTTGCCAACGGCGGCGGTGGCGTCGGCGCATCACGCGGCGTTTGGCGCAAACTCAACGTTGACGTATCGGGCCGCGCCAACTCTTTGGTGCCGATCTTCAAGCATACTCGACAGCTCCCGCCCCATGGGCGCTAGCATAGCAATTCGGCAGTTGCCGCGACGCCAGTCGAGTGACGCCAGCGCGTTCGGCGCGTGACGCTGTTTCCCACGTGCTACATTCCGCTGCTGGATTCTATCGACGTGGCCAGCTGCTAAATCCACCCAACCACAAGACTGTCCGTGATCGATCGCCGTCACGATGGTACGCGCTGCGATGCTAGAGGCAGCGCCATCGCGTGACGTCGATGGCACCCGGCAACCAGCCCGGCAACAGACGCGTCGGGCACCATCTGCGGTGCCTCCGACTTGCTCGAGTTACAAATTGCGATATGCTACCCTGGTCCGTAGTAGCGAGGCCCTCTTTGCTGCGTTCGCGCCATCTACGGAGGCCCTCGTGACTCGTTACGCAAACCCAACGGTAGCGGTAAGTTGCGTGCATTTAGTGGACTTATTGCCGCGGGCGTGAATCTATGTGGTTTTTCCGGGTGCGAATTGAATTCTCACGTCGCTCTTGGGTGGGTTTGGCGTTGCATCCACCTTGCACTTGGCCAAGTATCTTGTTCGTATCGCACATCTTCTTGGCGGCGCGCGTGATGCAGTCGCCATCGTCCTCGACGATCAGCGCCTCGTGGAGCGATCTAGAGAGCAGACTCGGTCGTCTCCTCGGCGCTCTCGGCGGCGATGTGCTCTCGGCAACTCTTGGGTAAAGCTAGCGTGCTCTACGTTTTGCACATCACTTGCAGCCGAACGCGCGGCATAAAAGCTACAGGCTCCCATCCTCTTGCCACGTCATGCGAGAATGTTGGTCTATCTTCAAATCCAGAGACAAGCCCCCGCAGTCAGCTCCCGCAGTCACTTGCCCTCTTCACTTTCGGCGAGCGAAACTTTGGTGGACGACAGGGGCCAAACTACTACCGGGAATTCTACGTTAAATAATCTATTCCCTACTTGGTTCCCACGCCGCTTGCAACCTGTGCTCGATGGATGTCCGTGGGAACGACGAGCTTCGGACGTGAAAAGGAAGCTATGGAGCATATCTATGGAGGCTAATATGGTATGTGGGGGCCTGTATCTGACTCCGAAACGTGGTTGCAAGCGACGTAGGTTCTTGGCACCCGTGAACCGTGGAAGTGTACTGAAAAATGCGACCTCAGCAGCACTTTGCAGCAGCAGCAGCGATCCTTCGTACACGCTGAGGCATCGCATACCTTACACTGCTTCCATGTCGCGACAGGATCGCGCTTGGAGTAGAACGCGGGGGCTGGACGAGTGCGCTGAGGCCGCGTTTCATGGCAGCGAGCTCGCCACGTCATATGCACGACCCTGATCCCGATCACTTTTACAAGCCAACGGCAGCGATTCTCCGGTGGCCACAAGATCTTTCCGACCAGATTGGCTGCGACGGATCGTGCGCATCCGGCATCATGGCCTGTGCCCTGCCGACTGGAACCTCGCCTCCCCGGTCCGCTCTCGCTCACAGATGGTCGCGGCGTGAGTTTATTATAACGGCTTATCTGCAGCGCGTATATTGGTTTCAATGCATCGAGGAACACTCACTTAGATTCAGAATTTACAGCGAAAACTTGACGTCCATGCTCATGGCGCGGCCCGCCGAGAGCTGCGGGATCTGCGAGTACTTGGAAAGCATGAAGCCACGGAGCGCGCGGAGGAGATCTTTGTACGTGATGTCCATCGAGTGCTCTTCGAACGCCGAGATGAACGCATACGACATGGCGCCGGTGGCCGTGCCATCAATGACCGCGTCCGCCGACGTCTGCGTGTCCATGCAGCCCGAGAAGAGGACGACGTCGCCCAAGGTGGTCTTTTCCTTGATGGACTTTTCAGCCACGGGGCCTGCGGACGCCGGCGCGGCGGGCGCCGAGAACGAGTTGTACGCGTCCTGGATGCCGCGCTTGGCGGCCTGCGTATCGCCGCGGAGGAAATCAAGGCCGGCGCGGAAGAACTTCTTGACCGCGACGAGGCGGTTGTCCTGCTCGTGGATCTGCAAGTTGCCGTCGATCGTGTACGTGAACGGAAGGTCGAGCGCTGAGCCCGAGTGGCAGCAGTCAAAGATCGCCGTGAGCTTGACACCAGCGGGCAACGGCGCGCAGAGAAGGGCGTGCATCTCGTCGTCCGAGATCATGCCCGCCGTGGCGTAGTCAACAGGGCAAATGGTCTCGTCCATGCCATCGGCCTCATCACCATCTAAACGTCCCCGTGAGACCAACCGGTGAAGCACATTGAGTTGTCAACGTACTTGCGTCCTCTTCCTGCGAGCCGTGGCCGCTAAAGTGAAAGAAGAGCGAGTCGCCGGCCTTGGCGCCCTGCACGAGCCAGCGCATGCCCGAGAGGATGTTGGCGCGCGTCGGGAGGGCGTAGCCGTTGCCGTCGTCCGTGAGCTTGCGCATCGTGTTGGTGGGGAAGCCGCACTTTTCATGGACAAAGTTCGAGAGATTCTCGACGTCCTTCACGCAGCCTAGATATATTCGCGTTAGCCGACAAGAACCCGATCGCAAGTCGACGTACCGCGGAGCTCTGCTTCGGTGTTGTAGTAGTTGATGCCGATGAAGAGCGCCTTCTTCGTGCTCGACGCATTGTGGTATTCCTGGTGGTGCTACGCCACGATGAGACTGCGTTCAGACAACCACTGCACGCCTACCCAGGCGTCGGCCGGCGGCGCCGCCGTCGAGTTCACCTCCTTGGTGCTGTTGTTGCCCATGTGCTGGTCGATCAGCTGGTTGCCATACTTCTCGACCTTCTCGAGGTGCTCCGGTTCGACATGCTTGGTGAGGTTCGAGAGGCTCGAGAAGAACGACGACATGGTGGCTGGTAGCTTGGCGGCAGATGCGGAAATGGTCCTCTGCGGCTGAGGCGGCTTGGCAGAGGCCGCTGCGACATGTGCTGGAGCTCACAACGGTTTGTCCCTATCAGTAACTGGGATATACTATTATCCGGATAACATACCAAATTTGAGCACAAAAGATATGGCGTGCTTGGTTTGTCCCAAAAGAGGCGTGTGGGTAAAACGGGACAATACAGCGTGCGACAAAAAAGTGAGCTGAATCCCGCCGAAATTCAAGCGTGACCATCGTGGGCTGAGGACGAGAAGGAAACCTCTCCAAGGCAGACCCCACTTCAAAAGCCATTGTCAACGTCAGCTTCAACATGATAGAGAAGGCCCAACGAGGCTAGTCTGACTGCGGAAATTCTATCTTATTGAACTGCAGTGCATTGGCATCTTTCAGCGCGCAGAGAAGGGATCGTACACTGTACGATTCCGTGCTGGCATCCTGGGTACCCCGCCTTCAGTCCTCCGCCAACACGCGCGTCATGCAATGCAATTCAGCAAATCAACGTGGCTAGCGCAAGGATCGATGGCTGGGCTATCGAGGCATTCTCTACCCGCAGCAACTACAATAATTGTACAAAAGTCGAGGTCCTTCCATTGTCCCTCGCTCCATCTATCTATCAGTATTTAATTCTACGTCAACTTTTCTCTACACGACCTTTGCCACCAGGGACATACTACAAGAGCTTTTACGCGAGCGGGTGCGCGAGCGCGGCGCGGCGACCCTCGGGTGTTTGCAGCAGCGTGTGCTCTTTGGCGAGTGCCGCCATCGCGTCTTGCATCTCTTTCATGTGGGCCACAAAGTCGGCGCGCACCTTGGCGTAGTCTTCCTCCATGTGCTGGATCTGCATCGTCTGCGTCCGGTGGAGCTCGTTGAGCACGTTGATCTGCATGTCCATGCCGGCCATGCGCTGGCGCGTGAGGGCGTCCGGGCGCACGTCGTCGTGGGTTTTGTCCATCGTATTTTGCCGGGACCGCGGTCCGACCGCGTCCGTGCTGTCGTCGGCCACGAACTGCTGCAATCGCAAGCTCAGTCGCTTGCGCTCCTTCTCTGCAATCTCGTATTTTTCTTGGAGCGGCTCCAGCGTGGTGAGCCGAAACTTCATGGCGAGATTTTCTATGTTGATAGCAACGAATTGTATCAAGACAATATCAAGCTGCATTGTACACGTACCTTGCTTGAGCGTTTGCATGTGCTTCATAGACTCGGTGGCCATTTCCGAGCGCACAGGGCTCGCTGGTACATGATGCGAGTGTGCCGCTGGCGTAGGAGTTGGCGTCGGTGGCGGACACCGCTCGAGCTCCTGGGCGCGCTTCTCCAGCGTCGCGACCTGTCGTGACATGAGAAATGTTGAGATGGATCAAATCAACGCACCGTAGTCAGTGCTGACACGAGGTTGGTCTCGAGCTTCTGGAACGCCTCGGGAGAGGGTGCGGAGGCGAGCGCGGCTTCGAGCGACTTGACTTTGGCAGCGAGATCGTTCTTTTCGGCAATGACCGCGTTCAGTCGACCAAGGCCTTGCTGCAGCTGCATTTGGGTTTGGAGTTGTTCGAGATCTGCGCGCAACTTTGCGTTTTCATCCTGGAGCTGCTTGAGGCGCACGTTCAAGTCCAGGTCGCGGTCCAATACAAGGCCGAGCGGGTCGAGTTCTTTCGGGAGCGCTGGCACTGCGACTGGGATTGGGTCTGGCAGTGGCGCATCTCCCGTTGAGCCTGCTGGCTGGAGTGCGACGAGCAAAAACTCTGTCGTTTGCTGCAGGCGCTGGTTGCGCTTCAAGACGTTGCGCAACTCGTCGATGAGGACGTGGTTGCCGTCCTCGGCTAGCACACAAGGCGCGAACGGCGGTGGATCGTGAGCTAACGTCGTAAAGCTCATCTCTTCCAGCACGATCGAGTCGTCGTTCTTTGGGGACCCTCCGCTCCACTCGACTTCAGGGTCAAAGTTAAAGTTGGAGTCGATCTCACGGTGACTCGAGCTCAGCGAGTGCTTGCCAAACTCGCTTTCATCCTCGTCGTCGTCGTCCTCGAGCGAGTCATCTAGACGGAGACAGTCAGCTCTGATCGACGGTGCGTCTCGTACTGCGAATCTCGTCGATCGTGGTCTCTGGTTCAAATACGTAGGCGGCGCGAGTCAATTCGTGGATCTTGTGGATGTGATCGTACGCAGGCTCGAGCGAGCCGGCGGTTGCAATAGCGTCTTGCACCAATTGGAGCTTGAGAATCTCAAACTCTTGAAGCAGCGTGAGGTTCCACGTCCGTAGTTGGAGACCATGCTGCGTCTCGCCGTCTTCGCGCACTTGAAGTTCGTCGAGCTCGAACTGTAGGCCATCCATCTTTTTCTCGGCGAGTGTCAGGGATGCCTGGAGCTTCTTAACCTTGCGTTGCTGGCCCTCAAGTTGCTACAGAGCCGTTGACTATGAAATTCGGCAACGAGGTGCACACCCGCGTGAGGCGCTCAATGGACGCGTGGCCGTCGTCCGAGTACTCGCTAAATGTGTCTTGAATTCCTCCGTTGTTCTAATCACGTTGTCTGCGTCAGCAATGATTTGAGGACGATGACGTCATACCATCGTCGACGACGAGTCGGTAAGGGTGCTGGACCGCACAAGCGATGGTGGCGCCTTGGAATGGCGCAATGGGCCATCCGTAAAGGGATCTCGCACAAGGCGTGTCGAGCCGCGAAGGTCAGCCGCGGTGGCCGTGTCAGCCCGCTGCTTCTTTGTGGGATTGTTGTTGCGGTCAACGATGTGGCACTTGATGTTGAGCGAGAGGCGGGCCGAGGGTTCTTTGGATGACGGAAGCGCTGGCAGCGACAAGGTGAGCGACTTGTTCAGGTACAGCGCAATGTCGAGCTCAAAGTGAGCGACTTGGGTCTGCGACGGCAGCTAAGCTTGGTTTGTCAGCAACAGCAATCGAAGTCTCCATTGCACATACCGAGGTGACGATGAAGTGGTACAGCTTGGGCTCAAACGTGGTCGCGGACGACGACGACGACCTGTCCGCGCGTGTGAGCGTCGACTGGAGCCCGACAACTTGTCGGAACTCGGCCATGTTGTTCTTCCAAATCGCAGGGTCCGAGTTGATGTGCTTGGCATCGCGCTGGAACGTGATGCGAAGCTCCTTGTCTGTGAGCTGCACGTGGTGCGAAATGTGCACGTGCTCGAGCACAACTAGATTGGATCATACGGCAAAGTGCAAACTGGGAAAGACATGGAATACCATCGAGCTGGAAGCGCGCGCGCATGGCCGCCATGCTGCCCCGCGCGAGAAGCGGGACCGGCGTCTCGGGCTCGGCCACGGACCGTGACGTGAACGTGTACATCTCGTGCTGGAGGTACATGCCGGGCGCGACAAAATGGCGTCGGCGTGTGGGGAAACACCGCGCCAGATGGTGGCGACAGGCGCCTGTGATTGGCTGCCGCTATTAATAGGGTGCACTTTATCGTAATTGTCTCTATCTTGGCATCTTGGGACGATCGCATGGCAGTGGCGTGACAAGCGAGTAGAGTCGCCTCGCTCGCGGTCGCTTGCGCGGCCAACAACGCGACCTCGGAGCATAATGACCTCGGGGCATCCGAGTTCAATATGTCAATTACATGTAAACGTGAACACGCTACACCATTGAGCTGGACAACCATGCGATTTTCTGACTGCCCTTCTACAGTACAAGCGAAACTCCGTCTGCTGGTTTCACGGGTCCCAACTTTGCCGAAAGCTAGCACTGAATTACGGCACGGAATGGCATGCAATTCAGACGACGGGCGACCTATGACAGCTGAGATAGCTGTTGAGATATGAATACTTGTGACCACGGGGCGTGCGCTTGGAGAAGTTTGGATGGTGAAATATCCCTCCTGCTCTCGAAGCTGCTCCTGTAGAGTTCCGCAGCAGCTACGGGAAAGAGATGACGATTTATTGCACTGAAGTAGACATCACTACATCAATGACTCGATTTTCTAGCGTCGCGGCGTTCACGCTGTGCAGCACGATCATGATGGGCCATGAGACTTCTGTGAGAAAAAGCGCGTTCAAAAGGACAGTGGCGATAAATCACAAACGATACAAACCCCGCTACTCACCAAGCACACAACTCCACCGTGCACGCTTGGCTTTCTGCGGTACAGCAAGGCGTCGGCGCAGTGGTGGCCACTAATACTAGCTCCTTGTGGCATGCATGCAGACCAAGACCTTGCCCGCCAAACGCTGCGCCAAATTGCAGCGTGGATGCAAAGCGTGAGTCACGGAGGCAGGGTTCGAAAACCCAGTATCCAGAACGCAAAGCTCGTTGAGGATCCGATCGTAGCGTTGGCTGACGTGGCACGCACAGCCTCGATCCATCACAATGCCAAAAGGTAGTCACCACGGCGACCAGCTACTTTCTCGACCGTAGTAGGTACCGGAGCGGTTTAGATCCGCGCGTTGGTCTTTTGCACTCGATTCTTGTCAACCTCAATCAAGGGTTTGGTATTCTTAGTAGTAGCTCACGCCTGATTGAATCATCGCTGAGGCGTACTTGGTTTCTTCGCAGCTCTTTTTCGGAATCGTCTTGACCACGGTGCCTTTGAGCCAGCTACGTACGTGCGATTAGAGCTGAGTGAGCAGATCCATCGCACCCGAGAGTCTGCGCGTCGGTGAGCGGTTCGTGGTGTTTCTCTTTTGGCGCCTTCTTCATGCGCGTATGCTTGAACTTGTCGGCGCGTAGCGCAAGCCCGCTATTGTACTCGCATGCATGCAAGTCTGCGTCGCTGTTGTTGTTTGCCGCGTCTTCGGACGCCTCCAGGAGCGCTTCGATCCCTGAAGGACGCGTGAGCTGGCAACGCCTGATGGAACGAGGGTGTACCTGCGAGAAACTGCGCTCTCGGGAGCGTGCCGTCTGGGAACCACGCGCTAACTTGGTCGACGATCGTCGCTGGCGGACTCGTGCCTTTGGGACAGTGGTACAAAGCGTGCACAAACGCAGGAAAGGCCGAGGGGTTGATCGTCGGGCCCCGCTGGGCTGCCACGTCATAGGCCGACGCCACGTCGGATGCATTAAACGCGTGCAGCGGCAGTAGCCCTTCAAAGGGCCCTTGCGGCCCAAGATACGTAAGCCCAAAGAACGACATGGTGTTTTGACAACTAGCTGATTTCAGATAGAAAGCCTATCTTTAGCCCAACGTTCGCGCGGAACCCTATCCCTCTAGCCAGAGCTGAACGGCGCTGAGATTGGCTGGAGCGAAATGTTGAAATGTCGGCAAGGACAATGGCGTTTGCACGAATCCTAGAGCTTGAAGGCTTGAAGAGCCCCAAACCCGACCCTGCATGTAGAGAGAGACCTGCTACTAGTATAGCCCCATGGTATAGCCCACAGTTCACTCATTAGCCACACGATTGGACACTAGCCAGCACAACATTCGTGGACCAGTGGGAGACGCCGAACGTCGGCGCAAGACTTTCAGTCGAAAACGATACCAAATGTGCCCACGGAACGTCGCTGGCAGTTCCGAGTGCGCTGACATCATGCCGGCGGTCTTCTCATGTTGAGTGCATCTAGTCAAACGAACCGGTTCACCCTAGTACGGTTGGGAGAACAAAGATCGCAGAATTTCGAATCCGTGACGATGGCAACGCTGCGACTGGAGGCGATATACCTCACAGTAGCATCCATGGCCGCTTTCGCCGCCAAGGGCCTCGATGTCATTCGTCTTCGGTGAGCGGCTCGATGTGGAGAACGAGACGAAGATGGCTGCGTGTAGCCCCGGTGGCGATGCGTGGTGCATTGAGCGGTCGGCCGTGGACCCGCTCCTCACGGACTCGGTCGAGCGGGAGGCGCTCCGCACGATGGAAGACAAGAAAGAGACCTCGATTTACTACCATGGCAATACGCTGCAGATCCGCACCTGCTTGGTCCGCGGCGTCCGCGTCAACCATGTCAACCTCGGTACACACTGCAACATGCTTGGAGGCGGCTCGTCATCGATCGCACCTAGCGCCGGGGACGGCGCATGCGCTGCGCAACGGCGACCGCATCGCGATTCTCGCCTCGCCCTATGGTGGCGACGTCGTCGTGTACGCAGTGCTCGGTATCTCGCCACTCTGACGCGACCGCGTAGGTACCACGTGGAGATCGCAGTCGTCGGTGACGCGGTGCCGCAGAGCGCTATCTACGCGACGACGGCGCCTGATTCGAGTGACGCAGACTCGGACGTTCAAGTGTGCCACAAACGAGAGGTCTCGTCGGACGCCTCGTCCCGCGCGGCCAAGCGGCAACGACGGGCACCACCGTCGATTCCCGAGACACGTTCTGGGTCACTTTATCAGTTGCGCCTTGTGAGCGACGCTCTGGCACCAGCATCAGCCGCGGCCATGAAGCAGCGACGTCTCGACATCGTGCGCCTCGGGTACGACTGAATGCACTGTGTCTCGTTCTACTTGGCCTTGTAGACCCGACCATCGTTCCTATTCGTTTGGCCGGTCGCTCGTCGCGAACCTTTTCACTGACCCAAAGGAGCGCCAGGCACTGCTCGACTTGGAGGACGACCACTGTCAGTTTCTGAGCGACTACCACGGCAACCTTCGCGTCATGGACACGAGCCGCTTTGGCACGCGCGTCAACACCGTGCGACTGGGTACGGCCTCCCCGCATCGGCATCTTTGACGATATATGCGTCAGAACCGTATGCGCCCCGGCTGCTCGATGTCGGCGACAAGGTCGTGCTCCTCAAGTCTCTGCGCGGCAGCGACCTCCTCGCGTACGTACACACCCCGACTTGCGGCGGTTCCAAGGACAAGTAGGTATGTGGTGGAAGATGCCACGATCCGTCGCAGTTTGTTGGCGCCGGCGCCACCGACGACACCGATCCAGCGCAGCGTGACTCCAACGCCGGCCGCGTCCCCCATCTCGGAGCACTCGTTCTTATCGGTCGCGTCGCAGCCGGCCAAGGGGCGCAAGCGCTGTGGCTTGAACGGCTGCGAGAAGCACGGCGTGGCACCGCAAGGCCGCTGCAAGACGCACACGGACCCGGACAAGCGTCTGCGCTGCCAGTACGTCGCCGACGACGGCGTCGTTTGCACCAACTTTGCCAACGGCCGCGGCGAGTGCGAGAAACACCTCGGCTGCGTCCACGGAGCCACGAGCAGCCGCGAGAACATGCGCACGACGCGGCGCAACCCATCGACCAAGCGCAACGTGTAGCGAAGCCCCGTCCGCACAATATTTTGAGTATCAATCGGACTGCACGCTGGTGTTGGCGGCGTCATCACGCAGGTGCGTCCAGGTGGATGGATGGTCGCTTCGGATACGTTGACTCGCACCCAACTATTGATCGCCCGAGTCACGAGGAGGTTCCTGTACCAGGGGTATGGAGGATGTACGTTTAACGACTAGACCCTGGCAACTTCGCAGCATCAACACACCGAGATGTGTGTTGTGTTATCGTCGAGCGAGGAGGAGAACCATAGATCAATAACCCAAGCTAACGTGGGTGAAAGTCGCCAAGGTCTGGTCGCACAAGGATTCTAGCGCCAAGTCCACGGCCATGTCCACCAACAGCGCCACTATGTATCGTCTCGACACGACCTCCTTGTACCATGCCAACGTCGCCGACTGGCTCCGTCAAGTAGGCCCAAGTGACGGCTGCGCCTGCCTTCAAGGACATTGCGTTGTTGGATAGACACCTACGAGACGCATGTGGTAACTGGAGTGCCATACCTCGAGCCAGGCGCGAACGCCGACACCTTCAAGAACGAGGCTGACGACAAGATCGCATTCACGTCGTGGACCTCCGCCATGGCATTAACGACGTCGTTGGGCAGCAAATTTGTTCATTTTGTCAAATCAAATACTGCACCGACAAAGGACAGAGACGAGGTTTATCGCCTGTGGGCTCGTGCAACCAGAAGGTCGTGTTAGCAAGGACATCAAATATCCTATTGATGTCCTTACTATGAGCTATCTATCCGATGGTATACCAAGGCGTCTTGGTCCCTTGGGTGGCGCTGCCTTGGCGGGCGTTGGCGACGATAAGCTTATGTTTTTGAGGCTTGATCTGTCGATTTACGGCAGTTTCCCGAAATTTGGGTCCACCAAACCATTCTGATTGATACCCAAGGAACATTTCAGATTCGTGTAGCACCACGTCGTTGCGGTCGAGGCCACCTGCGTGCGCAATCAATCTTTGCACAAGTGTTTCTGCTTTATAGGTATGCGATCGCGCAATGGACTGTGAGTGAGAATAGCCAAGTGTTGACCCATGCAATACCCCATGCCAGTTTCCCGAAATTTGCATTTCGACCAACATTCTGGTGCAAAGTCACTGCAATTCTATTTTGCACTCGATGCCAAAGGGCGCAGCGTGGGCCCTCCGCGTGCGCGCGCTCGCAATCTACAAGGAGCTGCATGGCCACGTGCTGGTGCCGTACCGCTACAGCGTGCCCATAGACGACAAGCGCTGGCCTCGCGAGACGTGGACCCTCCCGCTGGGCAACATTGTGCACAAGCTCCGCCAATCGCACCCGTCACTGCCGCCCGACCGACGCGACGCGCTAGTTGCGCTCGGGTTTGCGTTCTCGGGGCTCAAGACGACGATCGCATGGTCCGATAAAGTGCTTGCGCTCTCGACCTACAAGCGCTTGAACGGCCATCTGCGCGTGCCGACGGCGTTTGTCGTTCCGGACAACGACACCAGCTGGCCGCGGTCGCTCTGGCGCCTCAAGCTCGGCGGTATCGTTCAAAAGCTGCGCAAAGCAGCCCACACGCTCGACCACGCCAGGCGCCTCGACCTCGTTGCGCTCGGATTCGTCTGGAGCTTGAAGCGCAAGCGTGCGCCACCGCCGACAGCCTCGCCACCAGAGGCGTCGAAGCCGGCCCCGCTGTTGCCGCCGCCGATCGTAGAGAGCTACCTGCCGCTGCCAGCGTACGAGAGCCCATTGGTACCACTGCAGCGAAAGCGCGCGTCAGCGACGCACTCGAGTATCTCGCTCCAAAGCCAGCGCCTCCTCGTCCAGCTCGCGTCCTTGCACATAGGGCGTGCCATGCCGAGCAAGTTTTGCGTGCCGGCAACTGCGCCGTGGCCATCGGACGCCCACGGCCGTACCATTGACGTCGACGTCATGCGCCAAGCGTACAAGCGAGGCATGCTCGACCCAAGTGTTGTCGCAGCGCTCAACCGCGTTCGCTTTGTCTGGAGCGTGCGGCAACACCACATGGAGACGCACTTGGTCGCGCTGGGAACCTTCCATCGCCTCTTTGGCCATACCGAGGTACCGTACCGGTTTGTTGTCCCCGCACCAAACGAGCCAGATGCAAGTCTGTGGCCGCCGAGCGTGCATGGCCTCCATCTCGGAAACGCGGTGCACAAGTGGCGCCAGCGCCAAAGTCGACTGACGCCGCCGCAGCGCGCGCAGCTTGACGCTCTCGGCTTTGTGTACGACGCGACGCGCAGCCCGTACATCGAGTGGTCGGACAAGGTGCTCGCTTTGCAAACCTACAAAGCACTCGCAGGCCATGTCCGCGTCCCGAAATCGTTTGTCGTGCCCGACAACGACCTCAATTGGCCGCCACAGCTGTGGCGCATGAAGCTGGGCGGCGTCGTCGACAAGCTACGGCGTGGCCTCGAAAAATTGACCAACGACCAGCGCACGGTCCTAGCGAGCCTGGGCTTCGTCGGCAAGCACGGACGCACGCTGGCGTCCGAGGAGGCCACCCGCGTTGTGCCCATCTAGGCGCCGCTCGAAGATCGCAATCGCAGCACATGCATTTTGATCGCTGAGCTTCCACAAGGCAATAAAATATGGCAAATATTTAAAAGAATAACCGCGTGAGAGCATACAAACGCAAGACATATAGTAATTCACAGGCATTAAATCCCACTTGTTTTTTGCACCAACAAACTTGATTGGTTTGGGGGCCGTAGCTGTACCATGATATAGTGTATCTCGTGTGCACGTTAAGTCGATATAGTGTACGAATAGAGATCATGTTGCAACCGTGGCAGCAAACACACGCGAGTCCACGCCACCCCTCTTTTCGCGCCACAAGCTCGGCGTATCGCCAAAGCGTTGAGACTCAACCGAGTGGAAGAGAATGCCACAAAGGTGTTGTACTTTTGCAACACTAAAACAAATCACACTATTTGCAACGCTTCGGATTGCATATTAATACTGTCATTTCTTATTGACCGACCAAGATGGCGAAGGCGGTGGTGACCTTGTACGGCGATGACGCCCGCGTGTATGGCTCGCTCGTCCTGAGCCAGTCGAACGAAGATGCCAAGACGCTCGTCGTCGGCAACCTCAAGGGCCTCTCGGCCGGCAAGCACGCGCTCCACATCAACGTCTTTGGCGATGTCTCCAACGGCGGCGCGTCCACGGGTGGTGTCTTCAACCCCTTTGGCAAGGCCCACGGCGCCCCGGAGGACGAAGAGCGCCGCGTCGGCTCGCTCGGCAACATCCAGGTACTTGGATCTTATGCATGCTGCAAGGTGTTGACGAGGCTGCCTCTAGGTCGACGAGGAAGGCAACGCCAAGGTCCACGTTGAAGACGCGCTCCTCAAGCTCATTGGCCCGCACTCGGTCATTGGCCGCTCGCTCGTGATCCACGAAAACGAAGACGACCTTGGCAAGGGCGGTCATGAGCTCAGCCTCCAGAACGGCAACGCCGGCCCGATCAAGGCCTTTGGTGTCATTGGCATCTCGGCGTAAACGTACTCGTATTGCTACTTGACACCGTGGTGATGCGTGGATCCCAGCATTGAACACCGACGATGAAGTTATGTGATCGATTCGATGTGTTCTACGACCGTTGCAGGACCCTGGACGCCGTTGGACTCGGTGATTGGCAACGACTTCGGTTTCGTGTTCTCCGTCGGTCAAAGCCCTGGCATCGGCATAGCGCAACGTGCCATGAAGCTCACACCACTTGCTTTTCTTGCCACTTCATTCTTGGCCGCGCTCTCGGCCGCCGAGACGGAGTGCGACCTCAACAAGCTCGTGACGTCGTTTGGCAGTGTCCTCGGCGCCGCGATGGCGTGTCAGAACGCGAGCAGCTACACCTTTTTGCCACCGACAAAGGAGCCCACCGCCGCCAACATTGAAGCCATTTGCGCGTCGCCCGCGTGCATCCCACTGCTCCCAGCGCTCTCGTCCATCCCCAACTGCTCGGTGGGCGCCATCAACATTGGCGCGTTCGCCGCCGCGGTCAACGCAAGCTGTGGCAACAAAACGGCAGCGCCCACGACGGCACCGCCCGCCGCGACGCCGAAACCCACTTCGCACACGTCGACGACGCGCTTGAATCATGTTCTTGGCGGCGCTGTCGTCGCCACCGTGCTTGCCTTGAGTTAACGGGATCCGTAATACATCTACCACGAGAAGAATTTTGCAGATCAATCCAGTGCGAGTGCGCACCGCCGCGAACGAGAGTCCTTATCTGAGTCGCTCAAGCCCCTTCTCACTCAAATTCCAGCCACGAGCGCAACGATGGAGCGGTGACACTTTATTTTGGTGTCGGAGACGAGCCAGGAATAGCCATTCTCCGTACTTTGAACTGGACGAGGATGTCAACTCGGGCTGCGCTGGTCGTCGTCGTCGTCGCGTGCCTCGGTAGCAGTGCGACTGCCTCGCCACCGCCCTGCAACTTCACAGTACTGAGCGCGACGTTTGATATCATGACGGCGTCCCAGTGTCAATACGCGACCAACTATACGTTTTTGCCACCGAGTACGGAGCCTACAGCCGCCGACGTCGACGCGATCTGCGCCGCGCCCGCGTGCCAAGGGCTCATTCCGCTCCTCACGACCCACGCTCCGTCGTGCGTCGTGGGGTCCGTGGATTTTGGTGCGTTTGCCGCATCTGTGAAAGCGCGCTGTGGGAACGGCAGCACCGACGTCTCGCACTCGACGACGAATCCGCCGCCCATGACTGCGCCCGGGTCGGCATCGAGCCTCTCGGCTGTGAGCGCGCTTCCTTTCCTCGTCGCGACCATCGCCGCATTCTTGCCCTAGATAAGGCTAAAAAACTCTAGGTGAGTACTGTAGCTGATGGAATCTACCTCGAACATGCAACTTGCGCAGCAAGAAATAGGTTGAATCTCTGGTTGACTGACGCCAGCACTCAAGTTGAAGTTGGTATAATCTTCGAAAACGGTCGACTTGACAAACGACGATGGACACGGACCCGCTCCTGCCCAAGACACCGCCGCCACCGTACGTACCAACAGCGTGGCGCAGCCCGCTCTTGCCGCTCTGTGAATGGCACTACTTGGACGGTACTTGAATCGCCTTGGTGGTGGCGACATATCATCGCCCAATAGGATTTACCTCGTGCTGCTGCCCGTGTCTTGCGCTCGCCGACGTCGCGGGGCACATTGACGCGTGCGGCGGCTTTTACACGACGCTAGCCAGTGCGGGGCTGCTTGTGGAGCTGATTCTCGTCCTGCAAGTGCTGGCGTCGTCGTCGGTCGTCCTGCGCGGGCTGGGCCTAGTCGCACTACTGGGATATCTCCTCCTCATTGCGTCGCTTCGAACGTCCGTGCGGCGAGCGCTCAAGATTCGCGGCTCCGAGCTAGGCGACGCGCTCGCGTCGGGTCTCTGCCCTTGCTGCACGATCGTCCAAATGACGTCCGAGGTCCGCCAGCGCAGCCCACCGACAGATCTTTTGGTGGCGTACCTTCCGGAATAAGACCAGGACCTAATTAGGATATGCATGGACAGCGTGCTGTGATCTGTCGTTGTACCTGGCGTGCATAGCTCTCATTCTACAGAACTAAATGGCGCTATGCGCTTATGAGACGCAGCTAGTTCCAGATTGTTTTGATAGAGCTATCTTGGTGAAGTGCATGCTACCTATGCTTCTGCGCAAGTGGCCAACTACAACTAGGAAAAGTCCTAGGTACAAGCACTTGCAATCATCCTGCAACAGCGATGGGTCGATCGACGTCCGAGCTCCAGAAGCCTTCGGTCCCCATTGGCGCGCCGCAGCCGTGGCGCATCGGCGTCATCGAGAGCTTGTGGGCTCCGTCCCCGACTGGTACGTCTTCGCATCCTCGCCACCACAATTCCCACGATAATGAATCGGCTAGGGCTCATGGCGTGCTGCTGCCCTTGCATTGTCATGGCCCAGGTTGCATCGCGTATGGCGCTCTACGGTGGCTACGCACTTGTCCTTGGCGCGACCATCGCCATGATGCTCGTGGAAGCCACTAGCTACGTCACTGCGACCGTCTCGGTTGATCCACATGACGGTATTGGCTTCGCACTCGTTCGCAGCGCTGGCCTCGCGGCTGGAAGCGGACTCGTATTTCTTCTCGGCAGTCTGCGCCGCAATGTTCGTTCACGATGGCACCTTGAGGGCAGCGAACTCGAGGACATTCTCTGCGCGCTCTGTTGCCCACCGTGTACGCTCGCCCAGCTAACGACCCAAGTCGAGCTCTACGACGAAACCACGTCCGTCTTTGGCCCTCGCAACGTCCTTCGCCGCTTTAGCCTCGAGCCCGACGCGCTCTGAGTCGTTGCGAGAGTGCATCATTGGTCCACTGTGAGCGCGTTGGAGATTTTGGCACTTTCAGTACACTGTTTTCATGACGAAAATGCTTTTGGTGGCGCGACGAGCTCAGCATGTCACGTAACTCGTCGTCAATTCTCGAGCTTCAATATCGCAAGAGAAAAAAATGAATTCACCAACTAGAAAGCACTAGTTGATGGTCGTGCGCTTGTACTGGTACAGCGCCGCAAACGAGATGGTCTCGCGCTCAAGCTGTGCCAGTGCCACTGCTTGGAGGAGCACTTGCTCGCGAGCATACGCTTCGTACCGACCTTCGTCGTCGGCTTCGCCACACACATGCGGACCTAGGACGCGCTGTGACAGTCTATACAGAGATCCCCTTCGCTTACACTGCATGGTCGGCAGCCCCAACTGGCACTCGGTGCACACGGCCGGCGGCGGTCTCGTGGCGCGAAACGCAGACCGTGCTTGGTCCCGAGCGAGCGCAACGGCGTCGGCAATGACCTACGGCGTAAGTTGGTTTCAATCATCGTCCAGTAGTAGTTAGTACCTCGGTAGCAGCTTTGGCCGACGCGCGCTTGGCGTCGAGTCCATCGCGCTGCTTGAGAAGGGTCATCTTTTCCCGCAACTGCGCTCGGTATTCGTTGCCGAGAATCTTGGCCAGTGCCTTCTTGACCTCGGCCTCGACCCGGTCTTGCTCTTGCTGTAGTGCCGCCTATGCCCGAACGTTAACCCTGGACCTATACCTAGCCCTAGCGCTCCCAACCTCCTCGAGGCGGCGGCGGTCGCGCTCCGTTGCTATCGCGTTGAGAAGGGATGCATTGAACGCTTCGTGTTGCATCGCCTACATAAATGCTTGAAATTGCTGCTTGCTGTCGTTGCGGTATGCTCCACCAGCGCTTTGCGGCGCTCAAAGCGCAGCTTGCTCTCGAGCGCGCGCATGGATGCGCGAAGTGCTACGACGTGGCGCCGCGCTAGGTGGCCGCGAACATGGCGTGCCACGGTTGTTGCTACACATATCAAGTTCACTGGGCACTCGCTCACGGTTGGATAAGCCCACCGGCGTGCTGCCGCTTTCGAAACCGAGCGCGCGCGAGAGAGCGGCGGAACCACACTTGCAGGCGGCGCGCATAGGGGGTCGTGCGGTTTGCGAATGCCACGTACGCGGTCCAAACACCAAACAACTCGCGCTGGCGCCGAACGCAGACGTTGGTGAAGCGTCGACGAATGCCTTTGGTCCGCTGCGTCACGCCATGCCAGTGGCCAAACCGGTTGATGAGACTCCTGCGGAAGACCTTGACCGACGCTTGGCAGAGCTATGCCACAACAGCACCAACCATTACGCGGTGACAACAATGTCATGGTGTACCTTGCCGTGTCGAATCATGGCGCGCGTGTGGGCGTGGTCTCGCCACGTGGCGAAGCGAGAGGCCAAGGTCGCATTCATCGCCCTAGCCATTTCGCTCAACATCGATCCATCCCGATAGCGAGGAATACGCTTGAAACTTGCGCTTGCTGGCACGCGTTTGTAGCAGCCAGCCTTTCCATGCACCAAACGTCTGTACTTGAGCGCGGAGGACGATGCGCCGAAGCAGCTGCGTCGCGCGGCCGGCTTGGGTCGCCGCCAGAGATCGCTTTTCAAGGACGGCTGCCACGATCGAAGCGACAAATGCCGACGCGACGCGGCTCCTACAATGGCAATGAGCGTTCTTATGCTGACTCTTGGTGCACACCGCGCGTGGGCCTTGAGAATGCACATGCGAGCACGCGCCCACGTCTGGAGTGCGTTGGCTGTGCTATGCACGTAGAGCTCGTACACGCGTCCTGCTCCATTCGATGACAACAGCGTATTTGAGTGGACGACCAGAGTGTACCAGGAAGTTGCGTGCAGCAAAAGAGAAGGGCGGGCAGCGCGCCGTACCGAGACGCATAATAGAGGTACTTTGTGTGGTCGCGGCGGGACCTGGCCATGCGCTCGTCGACCTCGGCTTCGTGTGCCGCGACCTGGCGCGACCGCTCTGCTTGGAGCTTCGCGCGAAGGGCCGCCACGCGCTGGGCTCGCTCGTCGTGCTCCTAGTTGCATACGATTCTAGTTGTCCTGAGACGCATTGTGGTCGTACGCGGTCCATTTCGGGGCTAAAGTAGACGGGGAAACCCCAGAGCGCCGAGCCAAGTGCGGACGGCGCTGCATTCCCCTTGGCGGGTCGTTGTGCCTTATGGTGCGGCAATGCCTTGGCTGTGGGGAGCCCGTTACGAGGCAGCGTCATCGACAGCACGTGGCGCCTCGACATCGGCGTCTCCATTTTGTACCGACGTTCGTAACCGCAATACACTCGACAAGTCGGGAGAATGAGCACGCGAAGATGGCGCCATCCTGCGTTTGCTTGTGCAAAGGACTACGGTTTGGTTGTGCTAAGAAGTCATAAATCTGATGGCCTCTTTAGGAAACTTGACGTGACCCGAGGAAAAGTCAGGAGGTACAGACGTGAATAACTGCTCGAGACCAGCAAGATCTCTGAGCTGTGCCGCCTTGGAGCCAACAATGGGGTTCATCACGTCAGTCCGAATCGCAACGTGATTCCCCAAATACACTACAACCTCTTACTCAAATGGGAGCACTTGCGGACTTGAGCTGTAGCATCGATGGAGCGCACGTGCTAGTGGTGGAAAGCATTCAAAATTGCGGGTGGTCCAGGTGGTTTCCAACACACTCAACGCCGTATTTGGCGCCAAAATCATCTTTTGAAAGATCACAAATACAGAGAGTGGCGGGTCGGCGATACCTGGCGCGCGGTCCAAGCTCGGTGCAAGGTACTTGGCATCCATGGTGGGGCGCTGGATTGCGTACCGGCCGTTGCCGAGCTTCTTGAATCCCAATGGGCTTGTTTCCTTCCGTAGCGCTGGGGCTGCTCGTCTTCAGGTAGTTCTTATCAAAACATGAAGCAAAGCTGCACGCACTCGCGAGAGACCGTGGCGAGGACACTTGGCATCATCACACTGCCAAGAACGACCATTGTGGCGCTTGAGTCAAGTCGAAAAGGGAGGTTGGGATTGCGGATCGAGCAATCAAGGGACCGTCGTAATAAGAGCTCGTTCGTAGAGTGTACGATATTGTTTGTTAAAAAATGTTAATAAAAGCTGTTGATAACGATGCGCTCGACGGTGTTTTGGTTGTGGACAATCTCCATGTGGATCGACTGCGTCTCCCAGAGCCGCAGCAGCCGGTCGCGCATGCTCACGTCCAAAAACAACGGTCGGCCACGAAACTGGAATCGCGACGTCCGCTCCCCAAACCCTTCGCCGTACTCGTCGACGTAAAGCCTATACATTACACAATCAATATCTCGCCGTATAACACGACACACATCGATACCCGTTCGAGTCGTAGGCCGCGAGCTTGCCGCTCACAAGGAGCACGGTGCCTTCGACGGTCAAGAGGAAGAGGCCGAGGCCGCGTCCGCACTTGTGCGCGTGCAGCGTACACGCGCCCGAGACGGACGCCATGGACGCGACCGTCGCTTCTCGGCACGTCGACGCGGCGCAGAGCACGAGCCCGCACATGAGGCAGAGCGCCGGGCGCGCGGGAAAGAGGTGGCAGCTCGGACACGTTTGCTTGGTCAAGTGCATGTACAGTTCGCTGTACGAGTGCGGCAGCGAGGCCAGAAACGACGACCGCGTGTGGCGCCAATACGCGCTCGAGAGGGGTACGTGGGCGACCGCGAGGTCCTGCTGCCACACGCTGGCCCAGTCCGCTACATACGACGCGTGCTTGTGCTGCCACTGCGTGAGCACGTTGTTCGGGTCGTCCATCGTCGTGTACCTAGTATCAAGGTTTCAACTTTGGCAAACAAAAACCAATGGAAACGTACGTGGCGTGCACGGCGGCAATCCACTTGGGCACGAGCGACGCGACGGCAGGCGGGAGTGCGTCCAGCGGCAGCACGGGAATGGCGTCGACGCCCGGCACCAAGTCGGTGGCGACGCGGTGGAACCGAGTAATGTCTTCGGCCGCCCACGCCAGCGCCGCCGCCGAGAACGGTGCGTTGGACGGCAATGCACAGAGCTGCGCGACGACCGACGCCACGTGGGATCCATCGCGAAACCACTGCGACACAAACGCCGTCGCCGGTTCTTCATCGGCGTCAACCGCCGTCGTCTCGTCGACGAGCCACAGAAACGTCTGCACGGCGTAGGCCACCGAGACGAGTTGCACCATGCACACTTGGTCGATTTGCGTCGGCGCCAAGAGCACGCCGCGCGCCAGCACGGCCGACAAGTCTTGCAGCAGCAGTGGTTTGGCGCCCACGACGCCCTTCCACGTCTTTTGAATCTGCGTCGGCGTCTGCGTCTCGGTCGTCTCGACGCCGTCGAGCTCACTCCCCGCCATCAAGAGCGCACGCGCCGAGTCGTAGGCGACGGCCGCCGGCGCCACGGCCCGCAACGACTGCGCCGCCTGCAAAAGCACGGCCGGTGCCGGGCGGGTGTGCCACAGCGTCGACGCGATCGCATGACACGCCGACGCGAGGTACCGGTCGGGCCGTGACTTTTCGACCGACCCGGTGGCGACACGGTGGATGCTCATGCACATGAGCCCGAGACCCTGGGCCACGTCCGACTCGGGCTCATGTACTGATGGTGCTGGCAATGCCATGTTGAGCCACGCCGCCCAATCGGTCGTCGGTGGCAGCGCGACGCTCGGCGACGATGCCGCCGGTGGCTGCAGCGGCACGAGCACATTCGCAATCGACTTGCACACGGGGCAGAGAAACTCGCCCTTCTTGACGTCCACGGCGTTCAAGTACGCTTCGCCAGTAATCACCTTTTGAAACTGCGTCGCGTAGTAAGCCTGCCAGCAGCTCAGATGCACGAGGTGGCCGCAGCAGGCGATCGTGAGCGGCGTCACGTCGCGCTTCATGTCCTCCCACGGCGTCTTGAAGCGCGGCGGCACGACCACGTTGACGCCCGACACTTGGACAAAGCCAATGCTGCTCAGCGGCGTCGATGTCTCGTGGCACATGGCGCACTCTTCGTCGTCGTCGTCCTCCATGCCCATGGCGTCGTCGTCCATCCAGAGCTTGGAGAACGCCGCTTGCTGCTGCTGGATCTTCTCGAGGGCTCGCTGCTGCGCCGACGTCTGCCGCGCGTGGCGGTCCGGCACCGTACTACGACTGCTACCGGTTTCCAGGGCGATCGGTGTTGGCGCCGGGCGCAGACCCGGAAAGGCCTCGAGCGCCTGCACTACCCATGCGACATGCCGGAGGAGCTCGTCGTTGGTCGAGCTCAAACTGCGGAGCGTGTCGAGCAAGCCGAGGCGATCAATGACGCGCAAGTACGTGTCTTGCACGTCGCGGGGCGACTGCTGCAGCGCGTACATTTGCAGCGTGAGCAAATGGACGATGGCGAGCACGAGACTCGAGCTGCCGATGGTCTCGAGGTGCTGCACGACGTCGGTAATGATTTGGCACAGCGACGGGTGCAGCACGAGGAAGAAGCACATGTTCGTCAAGAGACAGCTACGGTGGGCAACGTGCAGCGGGGCCGGCGCGGCGGCCATCGCCGTCGGCGTACTCGCTCGAAACCGCGTCGCGCGGGCTTGGGCGCGGTTGACGCGCGCGACTTCGTGCTGTTTGCGGGTCAAGTGTACCGACGTTGCATTGTACTCTTCATACATCTCTGGCTTGAGCGTATACACCTAGTGTCAATAAATGAGCCAAAGTATCAAGTTGATAGATATCCAATACTTTTTGGTCGGGAAGGCAAATGTCGGCCGCAATGTCTTTGAGAAGCGCGTCGATCGCGACGGGGTGGGACGCGCAGAGCACGTCGTACGTGGCGCAAAACTCGTTGACGCACTTGAAGAGCTCGCTGTGGCTCGAGGGCTTGACGCAGAGTCGCAGGAGCACCAGGTGCCGCAGTGCCGCGTACAGCGGGTGCCGACTCTCGCTGCTATCGAGCACGGGCACCTCGGTCGCGAGTTGGCAAAAGAGCGCAACGCATTCGGCCAGCATGGCTTCGTGGACGCTCGTGCTCGCGCAGTCGAGGTGCGCCGTGTCGTATCGGTCGAGGAGCAGCGGCACAAAGGCCTCGATGCCGACGACGTCGGCGAGCAGCTGGAGTCCGAGCAGATCGACGTTGCGGAACTTCATGCAGTAGTACGGCTCGCCATAGTTCATACTGTGGTTCATGACGCTCCAGCCGTTGCGCTTCCAGAGCCCCGCGTGCACCTGGGCGTCCCAGACGAGGCCTTCGAGCAGCGGCAAGACAAGCATGTGCACGTGCCACTCATTTGCCCCCAGAGTCGTGAGTAGCGCATCTCGGAATGCGTGGCAGAGCCGCTTCTTGCTCAAGAGCGACCGATACAAGAGGCAGAGCGACCGGTGCAGTGGGTAGTGGGCCGAGACACGGACGTCGGCGGCGCCATACCGCGGCAACATGTAGCTGCCATCCTCGCGTGACGTCGGTGCGTAATACTGGTTGGTGGTGGCGAGCCAGAGACAAAACGCATCGTGCCACGCCGACACGAGGAGCGGGACCGCCTCGAGCACCGACGGTTGCACGTGGTGCTGGACGACGTTGGCGTACACGGCCGAGACGAGCTCGTTGAGCATCGACGAGAGCTCGATCGCGACGATCCAGTGCCGACCTTCGTACGCGACGTGCGGCTCGGACGCCTGGAGCCGCGCGTCGGCGCCGAGGCCTTGCGCGAGGCTCAGCGTGTGAAACAGCAGCCGGAGTTCGTTTGGGAACGACGACAACAGCGTCGGGTGCGCAATCTGCAGCGTGTACTTGAGGTCGAGCAGAACCTGCGTGTAGCGGTGCGACGTAAAGCCGGTCGCATCCAATGTCAGTCCCAACCGCCCTAGCCCCACCTGTCAACGACCGTGGTCTCTTGCATCGATCTACCTGGCAGCGGCAGCGCAGCTTGGCGGAACCAGTCGACAAACGCTTCCGTGGGCGCGTGCCGGTGATACGGCACGAGCGACTGCAAGACGGCTACGTCGGCTACACAACAACGATAAGAAAATGGGGACAACGAGACACGAGGACGTACGCAGATTTGGCGCCGACGAGAGGCTGAGGTACGTCGCGATCGAGTCCCAGAGCCGCCCGGGCGGCTGGAGTAGCGGCAAGACGTCCGACGGCAGGGCCGCGTCCATGGCGGGCGCCGCAAAGGACGCGAGCGTCTCGTGGAGCGTGCGCAAGAGCGTCCCAAAAAAGCCAAACGAGTGCATGAGCAGATGCACAAAGCTCGCGCGGTTGAGAAACTGGACGCCAAAGCCGAGGATGCCATGGCCGGCGAGGCCTACGCGTCGACGTCGGCCATCGTGACGAGAGGGGCGTCACGTACCGAGGCCGAGGAGAAAATCTTGAAAGAGCTGCGGGTAGGATGTGGCAAACGCGATCGCAAACTGCTGCTTAAAGTCCGGGTCGGGAATCAGCGCCATGATGAGCGAGTGCAGCGCTTCGTTGTCGTGGCGCGGGAAGAGACAGTCGGCGACGATGACATCGACGAGAAAGCTCTCGGGCAGTAGCATCTAGAGCACGATGGCACAAGCGTCGATATCGGTCGGAGGTACCTGCTCGGCCACGAGGCGGCAGCCCACGTCGCACGAGAGCGCGCACTTGGAGAGACGATTGCAGAGCGCAACGACGTTGAGGTTGGCGTGCATGTCGTGACTGTGGAAGATCGAACAGAGGTTTGCGGGCTGCTTCTTGGCGAGTTTCGACTGCCACAGCAGCACCTCGGACGCCGAGAGGTTGCGCTGGATGAGCGTGACCGACTCGGGCAGCGTCGACGCGAGGCTCGCGCTGCCCTGGTGGTTCAAGTCGGGCACGTGCACATACAAGTCGTACAACGTGTCCGGTCCGTCCTCGGGCAGCTTGCGCCGGAAGCCTGCGCGGCGTGTCTTAGCGAACGCGTGGAAGAGCTTGATGTCGCTCGCCACGTCGGCCCGTGCTTGTGCGAGCAGCGGGCTTGGTACGGACGCGAGGATGTCGGGCGGTGGCGCGTTACCAATCTCGGTCGTGTTGTGGTCGGGGCAAAAGCCATGTGGGCTCCACGCCTCTTCGTCACCGCAGTCGCAGCAGCCGTTGCCGTTCTGCGCGTAGTAGAACATGACGTCGTGCGTGAGATGCGCATGTGACGCGGTGAAGCACTTGTGGCACATGACACACGTGTCATCCTTCTGGCACTGGCGGCAGTTCCAGGCCATGTCGCCGGGCCGGAACTCGTAGCCGCACATGCGCTTCCTCGTCACCGCGGCCGGGTTCCCATCGATTGCGGCCTTGAGCGCACCAAGCCAGGTGTACGTCGTCGTCGTCGCTGCCATGTCCCAACGAAGACAAAGCTGAAGCCTTGTGGAACTCCGGATACGCAGCCGGTTGAAGGCAACGGGCTAAATGCACGCCACCTTAACATGCGTCGGCGATGTACCAGGGCGTCTTGCGAGCGGACGAGGCGCAAATTGAGAGCACGTTGGCACATGCCCAGCGATGCATGCATGAGCGGTGCTGCCAGCGCCCTTCGCATGGTGCTCACATGCCCACGAGAGCGCTTACACAGAGAAAGGCCAGCGACGACCTCGCGCCTTTTCTGTAGCATGTAGCTCCGCAGAGAGTAGCTAATGTGGTGATGACAGAAGCGCCAGGCGCTGGGCTCGTCCGCTACATGCACCGTGCCTCCTCCTGTGAGCAATCTGCGCGGCTTCAATCATCGACGCGATCGAGTTGGGTGCCATTAGACAATACGATAGCGAGCTGGCGCGTTTTTTATTCGACGCGGTGGCGTTTTTCGTTTTACGCGCTGGTCAAACGAACTGGCCCGTTCGCTGCTGGTGCCAAGGGCAGTCGGTACGCGCCAATGGCAGCGCCAGCGTCGCTGGAGGCTTTGGGTGCAGGGACATCGGCTCTCCGTAGCCTCGCGGTTGCCACGGGGAAAGAGTAGAAGAAATGCGTTCTTTTTCTTTTTTCCGTTTCTTCTGTTCTTTTATCACTTAGGTGTGATCTGTTTCCCCGATGTTTATCGAAGTAATAAATGGTGGATCGTCGATGCAGCATCGACTGTTCAAAAAAACGTTACAGAACAGAATGTCAAAACAAGCAGTGTCTTGAACACTGTCTCCGGGTCTTCTCCGGCTTTTAGGAGGGTAATTAATCGTTTGCGATCTTAGAGTTAACGTTCAAAAATCTTATAAGGCTCTTAACTAGTTTACTTCAGGTGTTAATTGCCCTTTCAACGCCTGTGTGTGGCGCGGCTGTTAGATGGATCACTCGCTGACCTCTCCAGCCACTTCCCCAGTTGTGCTGCTGAATTATATGGCCACCGCGAGAGATGCGCGAAGCATTGCGCGCTCCGCCGCTTCCACCAAAGTTGCCACCTAACTCGCGTCGAAGGCGCTCCGCGCCAAACCGGCAGCCCTCATCCAAGCGGCCACTAACGACGTCGATGATAGCAGCAGCGACGACGAGAGCGACAACAAGAGCGACAACAAGAGCGACAACAAGAGCGACGGCGACGGCGACGGCAGTTAGTGCAGCAACGAGGAAGTGACTTGCGAGCCTGCCAGCGCAAACGATCGTCGCTCAAGCCGCCTGTCACCGATTCGACACCACCTTCAAAACGTGGCAAGGGCAAGCTCCACGATGTACCTATTATGACGGATGCGATAAGTTTGGTTTTCCTACTATGACGCATCCGATGATTTTGAGCACTCTTTTTCGACGCATGCGATGGATTTGGGTCTTCTATTTTGACGCATCCGATCAATTTGGGTTTCCTATTGTGACGCATGCGATGGATTTGGGTCTTCAATTTTGACGCATGCGATGGATTTGGTGCTTATTTTTTACGCATGCGATGGACTTGAGCACTCTATTTTGACGCATGCGATGATTCTGAGCTCGCTTTTTAACGCATGCGCCATATTCGAGTAAGTAAGCTTGCGAGTAAAATTGTATAATCCTCATAGTCACAGTCCCACTCACAAGCTGTCACGTAGCTCAAGTGGTACATCGTGCACTTCTCACTATAGAGGTACAGGGATCGAACCCGGGAGTCGCAATTTTGTCTTAATGCAAATTATCTACTTTTTGAGCGAGCGGAAGAACGAAAGGTCGTCAACCATGCTCGAGCCGAGACGGTTGCGCTCCTTGGTCACCGTGTTGCCGCCATCGGAAGGAATCTACTCGGACCTGGCGCTGGACATTAAAATCGTGCAACACACTGCGCGCGACCCCTTTCAGCAATTCGAGATCGTTGCGGGCCTTCCACCAAGCAAAGCCGTAGAAGTCTTCGGTTGCCGTCGAGATGCCTTGTACCGCATGAGCTCAAGATCGATGGGATCCAAGGGTGTGGTCTCTGCATCGTCGCTCGAGGCGTCCGAGTACATCTCGTTGTGCTTGGGCAAGCTGCAATCTCATTCGACATGGGAGATCGTCGTACCGGTCGATCGCGGCTTCCCGCCAAGAGAGAGTCACTCGTGCTACAGTCAACGTAAACGAAGAAGCGCAAGCATTCTGTACTTTATATTGGACGTAGATCAAATGACCGCGCCATGATGTACTTCTTACGAGACTCGCACGAGTTGCCAACAAAGAGGGTCAAGCAGGTGGACTACCTCTCCTGCCTTGGGAGTGGCGTTGCTGCCCGAGACTTAACAGGCAGGGCGCCCTCTCGAAACTCCTTAGAGGTTACAGACCTGAGTTGCTCCTACGAGCCAAGTCGATGCTTTGAAACTCCCAATGTAGCTGTATTTTACAGTTTAGTATCAACAAGCCCACGGGGCGTTGTTTGGAGGGTCTATCGCTCAATCAGTCGTTGATGCACTAGCTTCTTAGGAGTAGCTGTCGTATATACGGTCGATTGCTCCCTCCTCTAACTCGTGCTGCTTGAAGAAGTCCCATTAAGCGTTATCGACGTTTCGCGTCTTCCTACTGGCGTGCTTCGTCTTGAGGCATTTGTTGGTTGCAGGCATAGAGCTGGGCCTGGGTATAAGGGAGCATTGCAAAGGAGAATAGCTCGTAGACACGGAACTTACAGTTTGTGTGTGCACCAAGTCTGTTCTGGCCACGACAGTTCAGAGTTGGTTGGCACAGATGCAAGTACACTCCAACCCTCTCCAACACGGGCTTCGCCTCTCTACTCCACTCATCTGAACTTCTTCGTAAGAGCCACTTGTTGAGATCCAAGCATGCACTTTCACCAAACCGGATCGGACAGCGAACGTTGCTTTTATTCTTTAGGTACAGGTGTTGTTTCGGCCTCCTCTTTGAAGTACTCACGCACGCTCTTTCCGCCACAAGTCCTGTCCCAAGCTTTTGCTTTTGTTTTCTCTCGGAGCGAAACTCTCGATGCACATATTCAATATCAATGGCTACGAGTTTGACCAAGGTGAAGGAGCGGGGTGGACACAAGGCGGGATTGAGCAATTGCTAAGGTCGTGGTCGAGCCGAGGTCTAGGTCGAGGTGGGGTCGAGGTCGAGGTCGAAGTCGAGGTCAAGGTCGAGGTCGAGCCGAGGTCAAGGTCGAGGTAAAGGTCGAGGTCAAGGTCGAGGTCGAGGCAAGTGGGGTCGAGGTCGAGGCAAGTGGGGTCGAGGTCGAGGCGAAGTGGGTCGAGGGCAGGCACGCTCACACAGCATCAGCGCCATGGAGCGGCGCTGGTGAGGGTCGAGATGCACGGGGTCCTAAATTCATCTTGTCTGTGCAGCGCAAATTCGAAAATGGCATTTGATGTGGCGGCAGAGGCGCTATTCTGTGAGCCACCAATTGCATATCCGGATATGTTTCTCTGCAGTATATTCCAAAACATCGCATGGTCTCACCACGCTGTCACGTGGTGCTCTCTCAGCAGCCCACTATACGCTTTCAAATACAGTCTGTACCATGGTGTTGAGGTAGCGCAACAGCCGCGGGCTCCATTCGGTGACCGTAGCACCTCTACTAGCTCCTCTACGACTGCTGTCACACGGAGGCCATGGAGCGCGATACCATGCCCCGCCACCCGCAGCTACCGTCCAGGTGTGGGCTCTGCATGCACACTCTGAGGCGTCGGGGACAGCGAAGCCCGTGCTGCAATTGCTATCTGTTCTTGGATTTGTGGGGACCTCAACAGGGGATTCGATTGTAGTGCGCTTTTGCTTGCATGGCGATCCGGCATTCGGATCCAAGGATCCCGCCCGATTCGTGGAGAATCCCTCATGTTTCAATCTTTCAAGCGGTCAAGCAACCTGGATTTATCGCGCTCCATTGCAAATGTCAGAGGGACTACTTCTAGTGACATCAAAATATAATATCTGACAGTTTATCTCCGAGGATGCCCTCCCGGGCAATGGGCGGGCCATGGGCGAAGGAAGCAACGAATGTGCCCGAGCACACATTCACTGGGCTGATTCACATGATCCATACCTGCTACGCTGGCCCAGGTAGGCAGCCTTATTAGCTGTAGAGCAGAAATCGCGATGGTGAGTGCCACCAGAGGCATGCACTACGCTGTACCAGCCACTCTAAATCGTGCTCACATTGATGCGTGTCCTGGTTATAGTGTCCGTTCCGTCGATGAAGCACATAAATAGTGTTCACTCGACCATTTATTCGTACAGAGCTAATAAATGACGAAACACGATGTATCATCGACGAACCACCATTTATTACGTCGATGAATATCGGTATAGTATATCACACCTGCCTGTCTTTTATAGGTTTAACGTATTTAAAAGAACGACGACCGATCATTCTTTTTTCTTCAACGATCGCGATGCGCTTGTGCTTGAACGAGACGACTGCGACGACGCCGGCGATCCTCGCTGCGCTCCAAGCCGCGGGCCTCCATGAGATCAACCTCGACGACTACGACCGGTACGTCCTCCATGCTGCGCCGCCGATGCCACGCTGCGAGCTAGCGTCGTCCTCGGGCGCGAGATGTTCCTCAACGCGCTCGCCGGCATCGCGCCCCACCCAAGCATCGACCTCTCGTACATCAGCCGCGCCCACTGCGCGCTGGAGCGCGCTGGCCACATGACACGCCTTGTGACAGACCTGAGCTACAATGGCACGCGTCTCAATGGCATTCGCCTCGGTGCGTGGACAGGCCGAAGACCGATTCGACGTGTCGCTGGCATCTCATGCAACCCGTCGCCGAGCTAGAGCACGCAATCCCGTACCGACTCCAGCACGGACAGCTCCTCGAGGTCTTGCCGTGGAAGCTAGGGTCTCGATCTGTGTCTCTCGCGCATGCTGCCGGCGACGCCCTCATGCGCCTGTCCGACATCATCCTAGGTACATTGTGGACGACGACGAGACCGACTCGGAGTTCATCGCGATGCCCGAGCTCGCGGACGAGACGACCGTCGTCCTCGACTGATATCCAACGCACGGCAACACGTAGCTGGTTCCGTTTTCATATATTCCTACAGTATGGGACGACTACGCCAAGAGCGGGTGCGTCTCGGCATGCCGCTGCGGCAAATCGTTGGGCTCGTCAAAGTCCTCGGTTTCCGGGAGGAAGAGGACTGCGACGCCACCGATAGCCATGACCGTCGTCGTCACGAGCAGCAGCGCTTCAATGTGCGCCGGCGGGCCCATGAGCAGACCGTTCACGAGCTGCGCAAAGGTCGCACCGAGGCGACCGGTCGAGCTCAAGAAGCACAGCGCCGAGACGCGCATGTTGAGCGGGTACACTTCGGCCGACATGACATCGTACTACACATCGTGCGCATCAGTCATCCTGACGTTTCGCGAGGACGAGGACGTACGCCGATCCACGCCATGGTCGTGCCGGCTTGGAAGAGGCAGCAGATGGCCACGATGAAGCCTTCGTGGGCCGAGCTGTTGAGCGAAAACACAAAGCCGCAGGTCGCCGAGAGGAAGAGCGACGCTGCAAAGAGCGGCCGGCGGCCCCACGTGTCGACAAGGAACAGCCTATTCGTTCGATGAGCCTCTTTGCGTATCAAGTGTGTATCAAGATTGTATCAAGGTTGTACCCAATCAGGTTGCCGGGCAGCGCGGCCGACGCGTACAAAATGTCGTTGGCGTACGGGTTGTGCACGTTCGTGGACTGAAACACGCGCGTGATCCAGGTCGAGATCCCGTACGAGCCTAGTCATTGGGTTGGCGGCTGTCAACACAAATATTGTCTACCAAAGCTGAGACAAAAGGTCGACACGAGCAGCAACAAGGTCGTAAAGCGCAAATCAAAGCTCGACGACGGCGCCGGCGTCGTCAAGAGCAGACTCCACCGGTCGTACCACGTGAGCGAGTCCCGGCGCGTCTGCAGCTGGTGCGACGCCGAGACTTGGTCGACACTAAGCCGGTCGTCGTCCGGGCCCCTAATAACACGCGATAAGGCCACGTGGTTGAGCACATAGAGCATACAGGAAGGCCGGCATGCGCGACGAGCCGTTGACAGCGTAGATGTAGGCGAGCGTCTCGGACGCCTCCTTGAGGTAGCCCTTGGCGACGAGGTACCGCGGGCTCTCGGGCACGTAGGCATACGTCAGCCCGCACGCAATGAAGGCCGGGATGCTCGCCGTCGCGCTAAACGTGCGCCACGACACGTCCATGATGCGCTCATCCGTGCCCCAATAGCACCCCATCATCGTCCACGCCAAGCACGCCGTAAAGATCGAGCCCTAAGGATATTGTGAGTCAGAAAGCCTACGTTTCAAATGGCAGAGTCCGTACCACCATCCAGAACGCCGAGATAATGGTAATGTACTTGCCCCGCGCCGACTGCGGCACGTGCTCGAGGCAAACCGCAAACAGCATCGGCGCAATACCTCCGATGCCTACTTGGTCATTAGGACGAACAAGATAAGACGACAAGCAGACGCACCAACGCCAGCGAGAAGGCGGAAGAAGACCATGTAGCTCAAATCCGGGCTGAACGCGGCGCAGAGGCCCGAGCAGCCATTGAGCGCGAGCGATGCCAGCATGAGCACGCGACGGCCGTACTGGTCGCCCAAGACCGTGCCGACGACACCGCCAATGAGCATGCCCTGTGCCATAGTCAGAATTTTGTCATAGCGAGGGGGCAAGAGTACGTACGACAAAGACAGACGACGAGACGAGGCTCGACTCCCAGCCGGTCATGGGCTCCGGGTACGACCCGAGGATGTAGCCCATCGAGAGGATCTCGACGGCGTCGGCGGCGTTGCCAAGCCCAAGAATGCTACACGCGGTGTGGGCATGCTACCATCGAGGTCGCGCGTACGTACCAGGCCATGCGGACGTGGAAGCGGCCACAGCCGAGCAGCTCGATTTCCTAAACGCCAGGCTTAGCATGCCAAGAGGAGGCGCGCTCGGACGTACTTGCTCGACGAGCTCCTTGGCGACGTCTTCCTGGCGCTTGGCAGGCGCCACGACGGGGCGCTTCCCGCGCGGGCTCAGAATGGCGTCGGCCATAGCACGGATTGCAAACTGAAGGAGAAATCCCAACTTGACCAGCAAAACTTCGATTTTATAAACCCACGGCCAATGAAACGCGTGCGCATTTTTATTCGTATTTTTTTGCATTTTGGATCCGCTTTTGGTGCCAAAACGCGCGTCGCGTCGACAACACCAACGACCAAGAGGTCAGGAGCTGCCCGGCATCCTCTCTTCTCTATACATTTATGGCTCTCTGAAGGCGCTCGAACTGTTGCAACTGCAGCCCTCGTGGTCACCGTGGCGCTCGTAACACGACGGAGCCGCAGTGTCATCAACGGGAGCTATCAATGGGCCACGACCCCTTCAGCAATGGAGACGACCACTATCATTGTCGGCTACTTGATGTAGCAAGAATTCGAACGCGAGGTACTAAGAGAAGGGTCGTTCCATGGATTGCGCTACTCGTTCAATGATGTGCCAACGGAGCAAACCCGGGCCATCAACCGCATGTGTCAGACGGGGCTTTTTGTGGCGTGTTGAATGCACTACACGTACGCTGCAAAAAGCATGGAGGCCAATAGAAAAGGGTTCTTGAAGTCCATGCGCGTGAAGCTAGGTATATATACACGCACCTGTTCCCATTCGACCGCGGATTGCGATCTCCGCCAGCGTCCACGCGTGATTCGTGCGCCTTTTATTCATTTATTTTATTTTTGGAATATTAATATGTCGGGTGGCACTCCGTGGCGCGATTCAACTCGAAGTTCGAAGTGAGGTCGATCGGGGGGACGACGCCGACGCCAGCCCAAGGGACGCCGGCCTCGAATGCTGCTGAAGGCCAGTGCGCCTCCTGGCTCGCTCTCGCTATTTATACGCTGCCAACCTGTGCCAATCGCAGCTGCCGCCGACGTGGCGTCACGACAGAGCCGATCGTGCTATTGGGATCAGATACCCCACCTGGAGCAAACGAAGGTTCTCTGTCCGAGCTTGGTGGGCGATATGTGCATTTGGAAATGGCGGATCAGCAATACCCATACGAAGAAAACCATTCCACGCTGATTCGCGCGTGTTGGCGGCACTTCAAGTGCATTCACGAGCAGCACCGATGCACTGAAGGTTGCGCCCGAGGCCATCCAACTGTACACTGTACATCCTACCGTAATGCAAAGTCGGACAACAAAGACGTGGGGTGGAGACGGGTGCAAGCCAGGTGCGCTGAGAATGGATCGTTGAGGCACACGGGCCTTGTGCAGGTGATGCGCACCACGTCAGCGGCGCTGCGCTGGACAGCAAGCTGCACCAAAGAGTCCCGAAAAGAACGGTCGTGCGTAATGCCGTCGTCCTGCCACTCTTGAGGTGCCGATCATATGCACCAACTGGCCAATGTTGCTTCTTGAAACGACGACCGATCGAATGCAGTCCATCATGGCAAAATGGCCAACATCTTGAGATTGCACTTTGAGATTGCACTTTGAGATTGCACTTTGAGATTGCACTTTGAGATTGCACTTTTCCGTCCGTCACGAAGACCGAGCTGAGCACCATGATGGTCGTCCGTCCACCGCCGATACGAATCCCAACCGAGATTGCACTTTGTACACAAAACGTTAATCGTGCGATGAACAAGGTCTAGAATCTGACACCAGGGGATAGAACGTTTTGGTGACGGTGCCCAACCGCAGCCCCATGGACGGCAATAACGTTAGAAAAATGATAGTCTCCATGTATGCGTGTATACTAGGCATTAGCGTTATCATAGGCTCGAGGGACTAGGTGTACACCCAAAAAACATGGAGAAAATGCAAATGCTGTACGATGTTGAAGTCACAGGCAACATGTAGTTGCGTGGATTTAGACATTCTCATGAACAAGCGCCCCTCATCAGCGTCATTGCGCGGGTTGTGCGCGAGATGAAGCATCATCAGCCAGGGATACAGCGCAAAATACGCAAAATTCTTCTAGTGCTACGACACTCGAGCAGCAAAGTGCAAGGGTTGACGCTACAGGTCCGTGCATCACAGCTCTCTTCCCACTTTGTCGTTGAAAGCACGTTGAGCCGGCTCGAGTTGGGTGTGCCCAGCCAAGGCTTTCGGCGCGCCCCCTCGAGTGGACGGCAGACTCTAGACCAATAATGTATCTATGTATCCAAGTGCTTCTTTGGCAAGGCCGGTGCGACTATCCATCTCGATTCACTTGGCAAGGCCATGTCGCCAAGGTCTTTGAACCTCACACTATCCATCACTGCCATTCCTTTGGTGAGAGTAGGACGACCACGAACAACTCATCCAGCCACAACACAACTTTGCTCCGGTTGTAGGAGTAGCCGCTCGCACTGTCTGGGGTTGTGCCAGTGTGTATTTTGCGACGTTCTACCTGCATGAGTTTGCCGCTGCCACCGGGCTTTTTCGAGTGTCCGCCCTTGTCCTCGCTCGAGGCGACGCAACTGCGGTTGCTGGCCGATCAGGTCTGCACAGACGCAATCGCAACGGCGCTCGCCACGGCAAAGCTGCCAACGACCAAAGTGATGGCCCATCCCCGCACCAAGCGCGTAGCTCATGTTCGTTCTCGACGGCCGTATGCTTTCGTCAACGTTCAGTTCTGTAGTTGCACTGGGGCACCGACCTCTACCGCTCCGAGATCGACGCAGTCACGGGCGTTTCACAGATCGCCACGTCCTATGACCAGCTCCACACGTTCTATGACGTGGCGACGCCCAAGCAGCTCCGGACGTTTGGTACAGTCGCCAGTCAAACGCTCTTGGATCGCGTGGTGCTCTACTCGCTCGAGCAGTCGCGGTCGACGAGCTTCCGCGTCACGAGCATTCTTTGGGCCGCGATGCAGAGCACTCTCTTGGGTAAGGGCGTCCTTGCGAAGCGCGACACGTGCTACTTGGAGGTACACGTTAGTCGTCACATGTCCTTGCCAACCCTAGCTTGACACTTTAGTGTCTTCGCGACGTGGCCGTCGTGGACGAGAGCGGGCAGGTCCGGAACGGGTTTGTGCGCATTATCCACTCGAT